GCCGAGGCCCTGAACCCATCTGCCCAGGAAGGCAGGGCCCGAAGGGTCTGTGAAACCAGATAACGGAGGCAAACAGGCTCTTTTAAGCAGCATGTGAGGCAAAAGAAACAGAGTAATGTTCCTGCTCCCGCGGTCAACGGGCAACAGCCACGGGTGCCAGAGAGAAAACAGCTGGGCAACCCAGGCCTGCCCTGGCCTCTCCGTCCCGGACAATGAACGTGGACGAGAATGAGCCACTCGCCAGCTAAGAGAGCCTGGAAGCTGGGAGGACAGGCCGGCCAGACAGGCCTGCAGGCCTCCTCATGCTGCATAACCAGCTCTCAGCATGCTGGGGACCCCGGATGTGCCCTTGGAGGAAGCGCGGGACACCGGCCAGACCCTCACAGTCAGGGACGAGCAGACGAGCCCCCGTTTTCTGAGGCATGAGGGAGGCACGTACTGGACCTCCAGGCCCAGATGACAGATTATTTACAGATCACGAGCCTGCAGGGAGAGTGCAGCAGTGGCCCAATGACTTCGCATAGATCTGCCAGGAGTGGTCACGTCAGATGATTGTCATTCCTCTTTGTCTTCTGGGGCCTACAGCCTGGTCTGCAGGGTGGTGCGGACAGCAGTGGTTCTCAAACTCAAGGGAGCATCAGAGTCACCCAGAAGCCTTGTGAAAATGCAGAATGCTGGGCTCACCCCCAGAATTTCTGAGCTAGTGGGTCTAGAGCAGGGCCCAAGAATCTGCATTTCTAAAACTTCCCAGATGGTGTGCTGCTGCTGGTCCGGGGACCACACTTTGAGAACCAGCGCCCTATAGGATGTTTGTGGGGTTGGGGGGAGCGGATACGGGCTGGATATTTGGAAAATCAGCAGGTCCAGAGCCACGTGAATGACTCTGCCCAGAGTGACAATGTCTGGATGGTGGTAGGCAGAGATGAGGGTATCCACCATTTACTGAGGACCCACAATGTGCCAGGCAACAAGCTACCCTGGGGGGCAGGCTTTATTGTCCCCATTTTATAGACGAGGAGATTGAGGCTCTGAGAAGTGAAGTAACTTGCCCAAGGATGCACAGCTAGTAAGTTCCAGAGACACAACCCCAGAGTTTCTAACTCCACAGACAGGACCCTTCTCACTCACCCCTCTGCCAATAATAGTTGTGTCCACTGGAGGAAGGGTCTCTAATGATGTACCACAGGGCTCTGTCTTTAACCTCGGCCAATTCAAAATTGTCATCAAAGATTTAAACATATGGAAGGCATGCTAATCCATATGCATATGATATAAAGCCAAGAGGGGCCATTCATGCTCAAAAATGTTTTAAGAGTCTATCAGGAAAGTCTGAAAGCAACAAGATTCATTCACTCATTCGCTTAATATTTATTGAGCTACTACTGTGCCCCAGGCCCTGTGTTAGGCATACACCAGTGAACAAAACAAAACACAGAAAATCCTTATCTCGAGTTGTCTTTACTTATGATTATTATTATTGATTATACAAAGATAATGGAAATTCAGATTTTAAAAATCCATCTACGATTCCTCGGCCCCAGCAATCCGTCATCACTGTGGATTCGTCGTCTGTTTCCCTTCTTTCTGTCACAAAGAGTTTATGCCATAACTGTAACCGCCGTTTCCAAGGGCTGCAGAGTATTCCTCTCTGAGCATTCGCCACCATTTCCTGAACTGCCCTCGGGAGCTGGCCCGAAGTTGCTCACAGTTTTCGCTGTTAATATCAATGCGGTGCTGGCATCTCCTGGTTTACCGTAGCCGGTTCTTGCTTGGGGGTTTTCCCCTGGGATTGGCGTTCGGGCTCACGGGATGGCCGTGCATTCAAAGAGTGAGACCAAATGCCATGGGGCTTAACGTCAAGTCCTCCAACGAGTTCAAAAGCCAATGTTGTGAGAACGGAGTGGGGAAACTGAGTCACGGTGGATGAGCAAGGTGACGTCGAGGTCCGTCCAGTTGGTCGAGTTGGTGGTTCTTTGGGCTTCTCATGAAGCCCCCACCAGGGTCACCAGCTGGTCCCTGCCATCCTGGTGGCCTGGCTCTTCTGAAGACGTAGTTCTCTTTTAGACCTCGCGACGGTTCCTGCGATCGCATAAAGAATGTGGTTTATAAAAAGATGAGCTGTAGGCTGGAAGGGTCTAATGTATTGGGCACTTCCCCGGGCCAGGCGGATTCTAGGCTGTATCTCAGCTCATCCCCCGACAGCCACGGGGACAGAGGCTCCCAGCCCCGTGTGCAGGTGGGAATCGCCCGTGAAACTCCTGGTGCCCAGCTGCACCCCGGCCCAGTGACGTCAGACTCTCTGGGGCTGGGCTGGGCGTTAGCGTGTCTTTAAATTCCCCCCAAGTGACTGTGTGTGCAGCAGAGATGAGAACCACTGCTCTGCCATTATCTGCATCTCATAGGCAAGGAAATGGAAGCTCAGAGAGGTTAAGTCACGTGACCAAAGTCGCACAGCTGAGAGTGATGGAGCCAGAATCCCGGTTTGTCTGACGAAGTGGGAGCTTTTTACACCCCGGGCTGGACCCCTGTCCACCCTGACTGTGTGGCAGGTACATTCACTCCCCACCAAAACTCTCCTCCTGGTTTTTAAGGAAAAGAGTGCGGAATCAGGAAGCAGGAGAATCAGGAGAACGTGGCTGGAGACCCCCGGCCTCAGCCCTGTGCAGACGCTCCTCCCAGGCCCACCGCACACCCTCCTCTGACTCCTGACCTACCCCTTCTCTCCATGGGGGGGGCAGGGCCTTCCCAGCTTCGACATCCTCCCCCAGGGGCTGCAGTGACTCCAGGGTCATGACCCTGGGCTAAGCGCTGCTCTCTCCCCTGGGCGGGTCACACCCTTGTCCTGGGGGCAAGCACGGGCTCTGCCCCCAGACAGACCAGAGTCTGAATCCCCTCTCCCCCGCTCACTGCCACGTGGCCCTGGGCGAGTCTCCCCGGGTTTCTTCATCTGTAAACTGAACTTGTTACTGAAAATATTTGCCCACCTCCCGGGTCGTGGGGAGAATCGATGAGATGAGGTGGATGGCAGGGCTCTGTAAACGGTGAGGCGCGGGGCAAATATTAGTTCTCTGTCATGTGCGGGTCTGGTCATCCCGGGCACTGGGCAGAACTGGCCACAGTCCCAGCTCCTCCGCTTCCCACAACTGGGCCACATCTCACACTCAGGGCCTCAGTTTCCTCACCTGGAGGACGGGAGAGTGACAGCACCGTGCCTCCCTCACTGGACTGGGGTCCGGATCAAATGCACAGAGCCCTGAAATGCCTTATAGTGTGGGCACCTTGCAAAGTGGGTGGCCCTGGGGAGAGCGGGCCATTCAGGAGGGTTCCCGGCCATGCCTTTGTGTCTGAGACAGGAAGTAGGCTTCATTCCTTCGATAGTTCCTTGTCAGCTTTTTCCTGGAGGTACCCTGGCTCTGCAGTCGCAGCCCTGGGTTCCAGCCCCAGCTCTGCCACTCATGCTGTGTGACCTCAGGCTCAAGAGCAGCCTCTCTGAGACTCAGCCATGTGTAAAGAACCTTCTGTCCACAGTGCCCGGCGCCTGGAGGTGCCCAGCAAGTGCAGAGCTGTGGGAGCCGCCACAGAGGAGCAGGGATGAGGGGGAACGGAAGGGAGCAGGGATTGGGGGGGCCAAGAGCCGCCCTTTGAATGGTCCTGGGATTTCTTAGGAGAGAGGAATGGTGGGTTTGCTATAGGGGCGAGGGAATCCATTTCAATACCAGGACCGCCAGGGAAGCACCCCGAGGCTGCCCCACCCTCTGTTCCATTGGTTCCCCAGCTCGAGCACCTGCGGGGGGGACTCGTGGTGGGGTGCTGCCATAGGTCTCTGCCCTTGAGCTCCTTCTGCATCCAGGCTGCACTGATCAGCTGCCACAACCTTGCAAGCCCCACGTTGGCAATACCAGGGCACAGATGGGGAAACTGAGGCTCAGAAGGGAAGTGCGTCTCCCAAGGCACACTTCCCGGCCACTCGCAGCTCCAGGGGGACCAACTGTGCTGGTTTGCCTGGGACTGAGGGGCTCCTGGAACACGTGGGGCTTTTAGTGCTAAGCCCGGGAATGTCTCCGTTTGCAGGAGCAGGCGCCAAGGTCCAGCAGAATCCTAACCAGAGCGGCGTGTGTGACTTGAAATTTCCCAGTAGCCACATTAAGCAAGTGAAAAAAAGGGGTGAAATTAATTTTAATACTCTATCTTATTTAACCCAAGATGTCTAAAATATTTTCATCATATAATCCATATAAAATTTATTAATGAGACATTTTACCTTTTTTTTTGTACTAACTCTTCAAAACCTATTGTGTATTCTACACTTATGCCAAATAAAATACAGGCTGCCCAGGTAACTTTGAACTTCAGATAAACAATGAACATTATTTTTAGTGGAGTATATCCCAAATATTGCCTGGGACACACTTATACTACAAGTTTATTTCCTGTCCATCTGGAATTCAGGCGCCTGAGCGCCTGTGTTTTTACCCGCTGCCCTGCAGCCCTGCAGGCAGCACCCCTGAATGCATAGACTCACATTTCAGCTGCATAACAGCGTAGGAGATAGGGCAAGTCTAGCAGAGTCGGGGCACTGGGGGTCCAAGAGTGCTGGTCCCCAAATCCCCCTGCAAAGACCCCCTCTCCATGGCCCCCTCTAACCTTCGCCCCTTTGTCTGCCTATGACATTATCTGCCTTTGTCATAGTCGAGCTTTCTAGAAGCAACTCCACACATTCTATCTCTGATAATCTCTTGGCAGACGACAGGGAAGAAAGTCCACAGCTCGCCCACAATTCTCTGTATCAACAAACTTTGAGACACTGCAAAAGGGGTCAGGGCCGCGGGGGGTGGGGCAGGTCAGGGAGGAGGGACAGGCCAGACCCAGAGATGGGGTCTGAGGAGCCCACCTCCTTTCTGGGCTCTCCCCTGCAGACCCCCAGCCTCTGCCCCGCCTCCCAGGGGCTGAGACACTCCAGGTGGGAGTCTCTGATCCAGGGGTGTCTCTCTCTGCCTCAGTTTACACATCTAAACCACTGGGAAGTAGCAGACCAGAGCCCCGGGATGGGGCAGTGGAGACAGCGAGGCGGCTGCTGGGGAAAGATGCCGCCTGCACGAGAGGTACGTCCATCCGCAGAAGCTGTGCTCCCCGGGCTGTCGCTGGGCCCCCCCGGTGTGTTCAAAACCCCTGGCCAGGTCCTGGTGTGTGTGGGTGCAGGTACAGAGTGTCAGGGAGTGTTGGTAACAAAGCCGCAGCTGGAACAGAGGCCCAGAGAGGTAGGCCACTGGCCCAAGGTCACACAGCACACCTGCATCAGAGGGGGCTGAAGCCTGGAGCAGCTGGTTTCCCGCTGCCCCTCTGCCCCATGCTATGTACTGTGTCACACGACCCCAGGGGTCACTGCTGCCGAGGACCCCAGGAGAAAAGGACTCCTGGCTAAAATGAGGCTCTGCAGGGCAGTGCCTCCCCCGAGCTCGCCCAGCCTGTAGGGCTGAGTCCAGAGGCCAGTTCTCACCCACCACGTGACACAGAGGGTGCAGCTTAGCCCGGACTGGTCACATGATTTGTGGGGCCCAGTGCAAAATGAAAACGTGGGACGTCTTGTTCAAAAGTTATTAAGGATTTTGAGGTGTTGACAGCAGAGCATTAAACCAAGGGCAGGGCTTCTGAGGGTGGGGTCCTGGGCAAAGGGCGCACACCCAGGAGCCCCCAGGGAGGAGAGGGGAGGCAGGAGGGAGGAGCCAAACTCAGGCCTGGCCCTGCGCTGGCCACCATCCCCAGCTGGTCTCCCTAGCCCTTGAGACCCTTGGCCGTGGACCCAACTGTGCCTGACCCTTCCCTAAGCACAGGGTCTCCCGTCTCTCCCCAGCTCCCCAGGCTGCCCCCAACCCTCAGGGCCCTCACCCCGAGCCACCACCCCCTCCCTGTGCCAGCATCCCGCATGTGCACGGGCTCTCTCTCCGGGTCTCTGCAGGTCCTCGCAGGTCTCTGCGTCCTCAGGGGCATCTTTCAGTGGGGCCCCACATCCTGTCCCCAGAAGAGCCCTGCCGTCAGGCCTGGTCCCATGTGGCCGCCAGGGCCAGGACCAGGAGAGAGACAGCACCTCCAGCACCAAAGCACTCCATAACTAAGGCACCGAGGGTGTTCACGCAACATTTCTTAACATCAAAAGTAATGCCAAAAGCCCCGGCTGAACAAAATGGCAAAGTTTTAAATAAAGACAGCATCCGTATTCTGATTTTTCGTTCAGCATCAGGCTCCAGTCCGGCTCTGCTCAGCACTGTTACAGATCCTGTCTTTATTTGAAATTTCAATATTTTGTTGAGCCTGAATTGTTGGCATTAATTTTGATTTTTTTTCAATTGCATCAAAATATTATTTTCCTGATCACTGAGTAGTTCTGGGTGCCCCTTTAAGTTTTGCACGAAAGGAGAGTGCCTCACTTGCCACCCACAGGCCCCTCCGGCCACAGGGTGGGGCTGGCAGGGATGTCCCCAGGGAAGAAAGGAGCTGGGGTGACAGTGCCATTGATGATGAAAATAACAGCTAATACGCACTGAGGTCTAGGGGCCAAATACTCCCCAGCTCCATCCCTTCCTCCCTTCCTTCTCGAGCGCCTACTATGTGCTGAGCACTTTCTAGACACAGCATAAAGCAGACACAGTTTCACTTCCCTCCCCACATGGAACCCACATCCTGGCTGGGGAGACAGATGAAAAAATAATCAAATAAGTAAGAATCAGCAAAATGCGTGGTGCGCAGTGCTACCTGCTAAAGAGAAAAAATAACGACGAAGAGAAGCTCGGAACGGGGTTGGGGGGAGGAGGCTTCACAGTTTAGATGCAGGAACCAAGAAAGCCGGCCTGCACACGCCACGCCCCCCCCCAGGAGGCAGAGTCGGTCACTTAGCCCCTGTGTTTCAGAGGAGGAAACCGAGGCAGCTTGCCCAGGAAATGGCAGAGCTGGGTGTTCAGCCAGAGCAGGCTGGTGCCAGACGGCTTTTTATGGGGGGGGGGGGGGCGGGGAGACATCAAGTGGAACCTGGTAGACAAGGGAACAGGGACTCTTGCCACTTAAAGGGGCCGCCTCATATGTTGGGTCAAGCTGTCTCTGCCTCCCCAGGGGAAAAAGCCAGTTGGCTCACTCAGGAGTCCTGGTTCCTCTTCACTGACTGAGCCCCAGCGGTGGGGGCCAGCCTGGGGCGCTGCCGCAGGGACCGCCCAGCGGGGGCCCCTTTAAGGCTGGCCCGGGGGCTGGCAGCGTGACGCCCGCCCTCCAGAGTGCAAGTTCATTCATCCAGAGGCCTCTGCTGACTCACGCTTATGAAAGTGATTTTTCTGGCCCCGCCCGCTGCCCGCCTCTTCCCAGCCCGTGAAATACCCTCGCTTCCCCCTGGCCTCTCGCAGCCTCTTGGATCCCCACGGGGCACTGGGCATCCTGCTCCCGCGGTGGGCACCGTGACCCCTGGCCCTCCCAGCGCCCCAGCTGGCCGAGCTCACCAGTCTCCCGAGAGCCCCTGCCCAGCAGGTGAGTAGCCTAGGCAAAGCACAGGGGTGGGAGACGGTGGCACGTCCCCGGCAGGGGTGGCCAGCAGGGTCCTGGAGCCAGGCAAGTGGACCCCCAGGTGGTCCTGATTAGCCTGGGCTGATTCTGCCCTCACCCCCAGGCCCCTCCTCCGCCTCCTGGCCATGCCCATCTCCAGGTGCCTGGCACCCTCAGCCCCGCAGCTGCCCTGCTGCCCGCAGTCCCAGCACACCCGGCCCACGTGACGCTGCCCTTGGCAGGAAAGAGAGGGATGTCCAGCCCGGGCAAACTGCCCGGCGTCCGAGGCCACTGGATCCCGCAGCCAGGCTGGGTGCTTCCCTCGGGGCCCCTGCCTCTCCCGCTCAGGTCAGGCAGAGCCCTGCGGTGCCCACGCACAGCTGCCGCCCAGGGGTCCCAGGGACTTGGCTTCTCACGGAAGGCCTGATGCTGAGGGGTGGGGCCCCAGGAGCATGGGCGACCTTGGAGCTCTCGGGGCCCCAGGCAGGGAGGCTCCGGAGGGAGGAGATGGAACCGGGCAGGTGCCAGGGCTGAGGGCTCACCCTAGTGACCACTGGCAGGTGGCACGGGGTCGACAGAGCACCTCCACATCCTCACGCAGCCATGGCCCCATGTCACTTTCTCAGTGACACCGTTATTGTGCTGTTTTCCTCTGAGGGGACTCGCCCACCCTCTGACAGGTGTCAAGGGGCAGGACTTGTGCTCGGGGGCTGGGTCTCAGACATTCCTGGGCAAGACACCTCCTCCCTCCTGACCTCAGCTTCTCCCTCTGTGCAGCTGGGGCAGGAAAACCCACCTGGGAGGGTCTTCAAAGTCCCACGAGCAGAGGGCCGCCAGGTGCCCCACAGCTGCAGCCACGCAGGTGTCCCCAAGTCCTAAAGCAGTGTTAGGTTTTCGTGACCGTGCCAAGTACCAACGCTACAAACTTCAAAGAAGCATCATTTGAAGGTGCAGTTGTTTCCATTTCTTTTATGCTTATTCACTTCTGTGAATTTGAATTCATTTTTAATGTTAACTTTTTTCAGTCAACATTTGCCATCTTCAACCAGAGGAACTCAAACAAAAAGTGAACATTACAAATCGGCCGTTCCAACTCCACAGAACTCAAAAGCTTAAAAGAAGTGGAAATAGTTAAACTTTCAAATTGTCTGTTGTGAATCAACAGCGTGTGTTGTTCCGAGGTTAGGAGAACGTTAAGCCGCTCGGGACTTTGGGACGTCTGTGTCACTGCACAGGAAGTGACCTTTCAGGTCAGCTTCTGGGTGGTGACCTCATGTGTGTGGCATCCAGAGCCTTCCAGGAGGGAGCACTGGACTTGGAGTCGCAAAGCCCTGGTGGCGAACAGGGCCTCCACCTCCTGCGAGGCGTGAGAAGGGCCATCAGTTCTGAGTCCTCATCTGTGAAGAGGCCCCTGCCAGTGCCTTTCTCACTGGATGGGGGGAGAGTCCAAAGGGACGGGAGGTGAAGGGCGTGGCTGGGGTGGGTGCGCTGTGGCCGGTGGGGGCAGGTTGTCACACTCATTTCGGGGGCTCTGGGGTGTCTAGGTGGTCTCAGCCCATAGGGGTCCAACTCTAGTTCCATCACCCACTGACTCTGTGACCCTGGGGGACGTGGCCTCACCTCCTGAGCCTCAGTTTCCTCATCTGTAAAGGTTGCCATGGGGACTGAAGGAGATAGTGCATAGGAGCAGTTAGCACAGACTTTGCATGGTCCCTGTTGCTGTCATTCCCGGGGACAGTGAAGACGAGGGAAGTACCAGGAGAAAGTGCTCTGGGAACGACAGTCCCATCCCCAGGGCCACCAGGCACACCCAGTGCCCGTGGTTAGTGAGACACTGTCCCCACCCAGCTGGGAAAGTAGGCCCTGTGGCCTCTCTCCCCGCCACCAGTCCTGGGAAAGAGCAGTGGGGTGAGCTGGGACGGATGAGTGTGCTATACTCTCAGCCCGGCAGGGAACGGCCTCTGGCGGGAGCTGTCACACTGTCACACGGCAGTCATCACACCGCACTCGGAGGCACAGAACAGGCTCTGGAGCAGGCCAGCCTGGGCTCGAATCCAGCGCGGCCTGTGCAAGCTATACAGGGCTGGAGAAGCTCGCTGGGCCTCAGCTTCCCCATCTGTAAAATGGGAGTGATTGGAAGAGCACTATAAGTACTCCAACTCCATGAAATAAAGATTAAATTAGTTAATGTGTATAAACACAAAGTGTTTAGAACATGCTTGCACTAAGCCAACTCCACAGAAGTGTGGAAATGTTTTCATTGCTGTTGTTTTTATTACTATTAGTGGTAGTGGTGTCACCCCCCAAATCCTCTCCCCAGGCAGACAGCATGGGCTCCTGCAGGGAACCAAGCATGGAGACCGCCGTGTGTCCCCTATGTCAGTGGATGCCACCTTTTATCTGAGAGCACCCATGAGGGAGTCCCTGATGTGCCATGTCCTGCCGTGTGACCCTGGAGACATCCTTCACCCTCTGAGACTCCCTTTCCTCACCTGCCAGACGGAGGTGACACAGCTCACCTCTCAGGGTTGCTGAGAGCACCGAACACTCTCACTGAGGTGCAAGCTCCTTGCAAACTGTAAAGTGCTGTGAGACGGTCCACTGTTGTCGCTGTGGGAGCGACGCCCGTGTCCTCTTATCAGCCTGTCTGGGCGGCTGTCTCTCATCCATCTGCTCAAGACCTGCCCGGTGGTGACGCTGGTGTTTGTCACTCTGCACACATCAGAGGTTGTACGCTGGCCTGTTCAAATTTTTCAAAATATGTGAATTAGTTGCCCATTTTTCCAAATCAGAGAATTCACATAAAAATCCAGATTTCCGCCTTCTGTGAAAGAACTCTGAAGACCAGTGACCTGGGGCCCCATCCCTGGCTGCCCTGGGTGGTCCTGCCCCATGCACACCCACTCACTCTTTTACTGTGAGTGTGTGACCCTGTGATGCTCCCGGGGTCTCCCCGGGGACAGGGCGAGTGGCATGCATGGTGCATAGACAAGGCCTTGGCACCAGTTGAGTTGGGTTTAAAGTCAGCTGCATGACACTGAGCGACTGTTCGACCTCTCTGAGGCCCAGTTCACACATCTGTGAAGGGGGATAATGACATTCACTGATAATGCTTCCGCATGGGGTCAGTGTGCGGAGGACAGGAGAAAAACTATGTCAAACACCCCTACAGAATAAGTGCTAAAGGCCCGCCCACCCCTCACCTACTCATGCAGATGTTGCCTTGTGGCCCTCAGGACAGCAGGGCTGCTGGACGGTGGGGGAGGCCGGGACCCTGTTGGCGGGGTTTGGGGGATGTGGGGAAGGTGGGTCTGGACCCTCCTCCGGCCCCTGCAGCTCTAAGAACCGGGTTTGGGCCCCTGTGAGTGTTTTGAGCCTGTGGCCAGCAGGGGACGCAGGTGCTCCAGAGACGACAGGCTTACAGGCATTTTCCCCAAACCCAGTGCCTCGGGCTTCCAGTTTTCACTTGTTCTAGCCCAGTCCCGGAGCAGGCAGCGAGCGCTCGTCTTTTGCTAGTGGCAGACTTGCTGCAGGCAGGTGCTTCACCTACATCACCTCACGTCCCTCAACAACCCTCTGGAGTAGAGATGATTATTGTTCCCATTTTACAGATGAGAAAACTGAGGCCCAGAGAGGTCCAGGAAGGGGCCCATGGTAACCAGCTAGGAAGCACCTCTCCAGGACCAGTGATGGCCCCAAAGTCCACTGGGCTACACCGAAGACCTGAGGGCTGGATGGTGGGGTGGGGGCTGTGGCACAGCTCCCCGGGTTGGGCAGAGGAGGCCTCGTGGAAGGTGGATAATAAGCTCTGGGTACCGTTACTGCCTGTTGATGAGGTGGGGAGAGCAGAGTGAGGCTCAGAGAGACGGAGGTGACAGGCTGCAGGAGGGGACGCTGCATCGTTGGGGTAGGGCGACAGGCCTGTCTGGAACGGAGCAGTGTGAGGAGGCAGAAGGGAGAGGGAGTGGCATCCTCCTAGGCCTCAGGGGCGCCTTGCACTTGACCCTGAGGGCCACAGGAGGCCTCCCTGGAGCTGGGAAGTGACTGCGTGACACCCAAGGCTCACGGAGTGGCCCTTCCTCCCCTCTGCCCCCAGGCCGGCTGCCAGCCCCGAGGCCCCCGCCAGCCACAGCCATGAGCAACTGGAGGAAGGACCACCTTGGCACCAGCAGCTCGGAGCCCCTCACGGTCGTCATCATTGGTGAGTGCCGCTCAGGGTGGGGGGTGGGGGGGCGGTACTGAGTCCTTGGGGTCAGAGGTCAGGAGCCGGGCAAGGCCAGGCTGGCCTTTACAATTGTCGTCTTTAAAACTGGCCACTGAGTGTTCACTGTGTGCCCGGTGCCATGCCTAGCAATTTATGAAGTGTCATTCCTGCCCCGTGGCTTTGGCAGCCCGGGTTCAGGTCCTAGCCGTGGACCCACTCCACTCATCGGCCATGCTGTGGAGGCGTCCCACATACAAAACAGAGGAAGACGGGCACAGACGTCAGCTCAGGGACAATCTTCCTCAAGCAAAAAAAAAAAAGAGGAAGACTGGCAACGGATGTTAGCTCAGGGTGAATCTTCCTCACCAAAAAAAAAAAAGTCATGTCACATGATCCTTCCCAGAACCCATGAGGCAAGAACAGAACCACCTGCCGAGACGGCTCCTTAAGGGCGGGGGGCCTGGTCCTAAGCCTGCGCTGGTCCCCGTGCTCACCCAGCTCCTGGCACCGCGCCAGGAGCTCGTGGAAGGGTCCTGGGGTCCTGTCCTCAGATCTGCAAAAGTGGGGACGGATGGCCCCACCCCCCCTGCAAGCATCAGGCTGGACCACACGAAATGGCCATTCCCGTAAGTCAAAAACAGCTGACCATCAGCGATTTCATCTGGTTCATCCTGACAGTATTCCACACGTGGGCGATATTCCCAACAGCGCGAGATAAGACGAGGGGCAAGACGGACAGGAAGGGAAGCCATGTCACGAGGTTCATTGCCCAAGTGCCACAGGCAAGTGGTGCAATTCGTTCAGACTTGGGGGCAGGTGGCCCCACAGGTGGCACCCTTCCTGAGTGCCCACAGGCCCCGAGCTCGACACCCAGAGCGTGGAGCAATCTGTATTATAATATTTTACTTGTCCGTCTGACCAACCAGACTGTCAGCTCTGGGAGGACAGGACTAGTTCCTAGCGATCTCAGCATGTTGGTCATGTTGCTGTGTGACCACAGGCAAGTTACCTAACCACTCTGTGCCCCAGCTTCCTCAAGTATAAAAGGGAAAAAGGAGTAGTATGTACCTCGCTGAAGTCATTGGGAGAGCTCAGTGGGATAACGCATGCACTTCGGGGCTTCCTGAGGCCTGGTACAGCAGCAGATCTGTCATTTCTTATTATTTTGTTCTATTAAAATCCCTTGACACAAAGCTTGACCCATGGTCAGCCCTCCATAGATGCCAGCGGGGACCACCACCCCTTTCTCCTTGCTGGAGCAGCACCGTGGTGCAGCACCCGGCACACAGTAGGCTCTCAACCGTAGCTCATGACTTTGTTATTGACTATTATTACGCACAGAGCCCGGCACATGCCAAGGGCCTAATAAATGGATCATTTTTGTTTTTATGAATGAAGAGCAAATCAGTGAATGAGTCAGATCAAAACCAAAGCCCCCGGCGGCGGTGGTCTCTGGCACCTAAAAGCGCCACCCTCTGACCCGCTCTCTCTCCCCAGGCAATGGTCCCTCGGGCATCTGCCTGTCCTACCTGCTCTCTGGCTACACGCCCTACATGAAGCCAGATGCCGTCCACCCGCACCCCTTGCTGCAGAGGAAGCTCGCCGAGGCGCCGGGGATCTCCATCCTGGACCAGGTGGGCCAGAGCTCCAGGGGGTGGAGGGGGTCACCCACTCCGGGGAAACTCTCCCAGCTTTCCCAGGGCCAAACCAAAAATACGCGTTTGTTAGACACAAGACCAATCAGGGAACACGAGAGGCCCCAAAATCAGCCTCGGAAATTTCGAGAGAGACACCAAGGCTGTCTTTCGAGACCCACAAATTCTATATCCACTTGTCTCTCCTGCCCTAGAACAGTGGTTCTAGACTGGGGGACGATTTTGCTCTCCAGGGGACACTTGGCAACGTGGAGACAATGTCTGTTGTCACAATTGGAGTGGTGACACTACCGGCTTAGAGAGTTGAGGCCAGGGATGCTGTTAAACGTCCTACAATGTACAGGACAGCGCCCACCACGGAGAATTATCCGGCCCAAAGGTCAACAGTGCCAAAGTTGAGAAACCCCCCTAGACATTTCAGTCCCACCACCCCCTGCTCAAGAGCGCTTCCCAGTCCTCCCTCCATGCCCCGTGCCTTCCAGGAGGCCACTCACCGTCCACCTGCCCCTTCAGGCGGCATCCATCCTCCTGGTCTCCCACCCTCACGCTGGGGATGAGGGAGTAAGCCGGCATTTAGTCTAGATCAGCATTTTTCAAAATGCCTTCAACAGGACGCTAGTGCTTCAGTATAACATGCAGAGAAAACGTTCCTACTCCAGTAAGTCTGAGAGACACTGGGTTTGGCAAAATTAAACAGGTACCTGACAGCTACAGGACTTGTCAGAGCCTTCACAAGCTGATGTGCATCATCTCCTTCAAGAGGCAGCATTTCCCAAGCTTGTCTGATCACCCCAATATTAGGGTGGGAAGGCAGGACCAGGGGCCCTGCCCCTGGTGGCCCCTCTGACCTGTGCCCCCCTCCAGGACCTGGATTACCTGTCCGAAGGCCTCGAAGGCCGCAGCCAAAGCCCTGTGGCTCTGCTCTTTGATGCCCTCCTGCGCCCGGACACAGACTTTGGGGGAAATGTGGAGTCGGTCCTCACCTGGAAGCACCAGAAGGAGCGAGCCATCCCCCACTTGGTCCTGGGCCGGAACTTGCCTGGGGGAGCCTGGCATGTGAGTGGAGACGGGCGGGGTTGCAAGGGGATTGGGGCCGAATCTACCTGAAGTCTCGGGAAATTCCCTCCCTAACTGGGGGTGAAGACCTCCATTTCCCACCCCACTGCCTCCCCCCTGCCCCTCCTCTGCCTCCCCGTCCTCCCCTCTCTCTAAGGCCTCCCGTGCCCTCCAGCCTCCAGTGGGCTGGGGGCTAGCAGAGGCCTGGACTGAGGACTCCCGTTCCCCGCAGTCCATTGAAGGCTCCATGGTGACCCTGAGCCAAGCCCAGTGGATGGGGCTCCCAGACCTGCAGGTGAAGGACTGGATGCGCAGGAAGCGGAGGTGAGGCAGCCCTGGAAAGCCCAGGGTGGGCGGGGGAGGCCCAGGCCCACCCCACACTGAGCCCAGGGGCTGGAGCTAAAGGGGCTTTGGGGCTCGTCTGGGGCGCCGTCCTCTTACTCGGGGCCGGGGGTGGGGGGACTGAGGCTTGGATGGGGAAAGGACTTGTTTAGGACCAGACGAGGAGTGAGCGGCAGAGCTAGGCTCGCCCCAGGACTCCCTGTCCAGTGCTCCCTCCCCCGGCCACACGACCCCCTGACTCAGCCTCTCCTTAGCATTCCAGCCTCCAGGGAGCGGGTGAGAGCTGGCCCCTGGCCCCCACGCCCTGCCCCATGCCTCTGGCCCAGGCTCCCCACTCAGTCCTCTGGCCTCCCTGCCGCCCCTCTCACTCTTCTGAGCCTGGCCTGGAACAATCTCTCTCCTTCTAGGTCAGCAAGTAGGATACACTTCCTTTTTTTTATGCTTTTGCACTGGAAACATAACCACACTCTAGAAAACAGAAAATTGACAAAGGAAGACAACTCACCCCAAGCCCCCTCTTCTACCCGTTGCTGTCCTGTCTGGGGATGTTTTCTCCCCGTCTTGTGTCCTACTCCACAATGACCACCCTGCACACCTCTGACTGCCCTGGGGATGGGGCTGAATCCCACCCCTGCTCATCCTGGGGCACGAGGCCCAAAGCTGCCCTGTGCTGCAGGGCAGAGGATGCCACTGGGTGGCGTCTGCCCTCATACTTGAAGCCCTGTTTCCTCTGCCCTCGGGGGCTGTGACGGGCGCGGGGGAGGCCTGTCGCCCCCACCCACCAGGCACTCCACCTCTCTGGGGTCCACTGTCTGTCTCTTTGACACAAAGACTTTTGTCCCTGCAATGTGGTAGGGAGACATCCGGGCTTGTTAGTGATGTGTTTGCTAACAGACAGACAGGATTTAAACTTCATTTGTAGACGGACTCTTCCATATCCTACTCCTAAAATTGAACACGATGTCACAGCATTGCATGTGGCGATTACAGTGTTTGCACCATCCTTTACGCGGCCACCTAATATTCCTGAGGGAGCCAGTATCTCCACTGAATATTCCCTACATGTCGGGCCTTGTGCTTAGATGTCGGAGCCCAAACCCACAACAGATGGGCTCCCTGCCCTCGTGGTGCCGCCACGGTCCCCAGACCAGGCCCAGTCATGGGGCTTCATTCTTTCCAATGTGCATTATTATCAATAAGCCCGTATGTAACATCTTCTTAGGACAGCCCTTCAAAATAATTTTTACTAAAACAGAGAAAGAGAAATGACAAACCCACAGTAACAAATTCCACAGTTCCAGTTTCAGTAGCAGACTAACGAGTTGGGTTGGCTGGAGTGGCCATGGGGGATGTGGTCTGAGCTCATGACAATTGATCATGGTGGCGCGTCACACAGGATTCCCATTAAGTGAGTTCATCCCTAACAGTATATGCACAGTTGGGGAAAGTAACTCACCTAAGGCTACACAGCTAGACGTAGGGAGGAGCTGAGATGACGCAAAGCCTGGCCTCAGACACCAGCAGTGCTGGCCCCACAGTCCCGGCCCCAGAGGGGGTGGGAATAATAATTGCAATAATAAAATCGTCCCTGCTGTTACTGTGTGAGCTGGGGACTGTGCAAAGTGCTTTACGTGGGTTATTTTTAATCCACTCGTTTACTGAAATATAGCCTACGTACAGCAAAGCACACTGCTCACGTGCATGCTGGGGGACGGAATGTCCCAAAGTGGACCCAGCTGCCTTCCAACCACCAGGAATCAAGAAACAGACACCCTGTCCCCAGGAGCCCCTTCATCCCTCCCAGTCCCCGCCCCACCCCCTCCCCAGAAGTGACCACTCTTGACCTCTAACTCCATAGGTTAATTTTATCTGAACTTTATAAAAATGGAATCCTACCATATTTATGTGGAATATTATTTAATCCTTCGAGGTAACAATAATGGCCAACTCTTATGACTCTTATATGTCACTCACTACCTGTCAGGCCCTATTCTAAGCTCTTTGTTTATATCATCATCGAATCCTCTCAACAACCGCACAATACCATCGTCACCCTTATGCTGCAAATGAGGAAACTGAGGCACAGAGAGTTTCAGGCACACAGCTCACCAGCAGCAGAGCCAGGATTTGACCTCAGGCCGTCTGGCTCTAGAGGCCACACTCTGAACCCCTTTAGGGTGAGGCCCACACTCACCCTAATGAGGTACCCTGATCAGTCTCATTTTACAGAAGAAGAGACTGAGGCTCCAAGAGGTCAAACCACTTGGGCAAGTCCTATGGCTGGCAGATGGCACAGCCACTGTCTGGCTCTAGGGCCTGACTCCAGTCTGGCCATCCCCAGTCGCCTGATGGCCCCCACACCCCAGTCCACTCTCTGACGCTCAGCCTCCCATGTCCTTCCCCCCAGAGGTCTTCGCAACAGCCGGGCCACAGCCGGGGACATCGCTCACTACTACAGGAATTACGTGACCAAGAAAGGCCTGGGCCACAACTTCGTGTCTGGCGCCGTGGTCACGGCCTTGGAGTGGGGGATACCTGAGCCCAGTGGCTCCGGGGCCCAGGACCCCAGCCCCCTCTTCCAGGTGAGCGGCTTCCTGACGGCCGAGGACCGGAGTCAGCAGCCCTTCTCCCTGTGCGCCCGCAACGTGGTGCTGGCCACGGGCACGTCGGACAGCCCGGCCCGGCTGGGCATCCCCGGGGAGGCCCTGCCCTTCGTGCACCACAAGCTGTCGGCCCTGGAGGTGGCCACACGGGCAGGCATGGTGACCCCGGCCTCAGACCCCATCCTCATCATCGGGGCGGGGCTGTCGGCGGCCGATGCGGTCCTCTACGCCCGCCACTACAACATCCCGGTGATCCACGCCTTCCGCCGGCCCGTGGACGACCCCGGCCTGGTGTTCAACCAGCTGCCCAAGATGCTGTACCCCGAGTACCACAAGGTGCACCAGATGATGCGGGAGCAGTCCATCCTGTCGCCCAGCCCCTACGAGGGCTACTGCAGCCTCCCCGAGCACCAGCTGCTGCTCTTCAAGGAAGACCGCCAGGCCGTGTTCCGGGACCCCACGGGCCTCCAGAAGGTCTTCGGCATCTCCCTGGTGCTGGTCCTCATTGGCTCCCACCCCGACCTCTCCTTCCTCCCCGGGGCGGGCACTGACCTCGCCATGGACCCTGACCAGCCACTGAGCGCGAAGAGGAACCCCATCGATGTGGACCCCTTCACCTACCAGAGCACCCAGCAGGAGGGCCTGTATGCCGTGGGGCCGCTGGCCGGGGACAACTTTGTGCGGTTTGTCCAGGGTGGGGCCCTGGCCGTGGCCAGCTCCCTGCTGAGGAAGGAGGCCAGGAGGCCACCCTAGCACCCGGCCTGGCATCCTCGCACCCAGGCCCTAAAGAGGCGGGGAGATCACCACAGCCCTGCAGACACAGGCCATCCCAAGACGCCCAGTGAGAGAAGGAGACCTCTCCTGGCAGGAGACAGGAGCGGCCACAAGCCCAGAAGGCGGCCTCACCAACGAAGAGGAGTGGGGAGGCCAGGCTGCCCAGACTCAGGCCAGGGCTCAGGAACAGTGGCCACAGGCCGGGGCAGGCCCAGACCTGTGAGTGGGGCGAAAGCTGCCAGCCTGAGCAGGGATCACCAGGGCCAGCTGAGCACCATGCCAGGAGGACTCCAGGCCCCGCTCGTTCCAGAATCAGGTCCCAAATAAAACCAGAGCCTGCCTCCACTCATGTGTCTGAGGATTCTGCGCTTGGGGAGGGGCCCGATGCCCAGGACCCTGCTCTGGGAGCTGGGGGGAGGGCACAGGGCCATGTAGGAGGAAGTCCTTGGACTGAGGGGTTGGGAGATAAGGGATGGTGCCCCAAGTGGGGGACAGCTATGTAGAGAAGTGAGGGGAGGGTGTGGAGAAACAAGGTGCTGGGGAGCCTTCTGCAGCCCTCCCACCCCTCCAGCCTAGTCCCTGCTGCTCTCCCACTTGGTTCCAGCCACACTGTCTCCTTTCAGTCCCTCATCAGGCTTGTACCTGCTGCAGGGCCTTTGCACAGGCTGGTCTCTAGCCCAGGGCATTTTCCCTCCTCTCTCTTCCTCTTTCTCCTCTTCTTCCACTCTCTCAGCATAAGGATCACCTCCTCTAGGAAGCCTCTTCTGACGAAGACCCCTCCAGGGCCACATGGCCACCAGGACAAATCCTCCACTCATGGTCCAAAGTGCCACCTCTTTATGGCAGTTCAGTTGTAACGGTTTATTTATTTGTGAAATGGTTCCAGTATCTGGCTCCACCCACTTGGATGTAAGCTCCCGGAGGCCAAGGACCCAGTCTGTTTTGCCCATTATTGGAATCCGGCGCCTAGCACGGGGCCTGGGGCCTAGCACCTATCGGATGCTCCCTAACTAATCCTTTGGACCAGTGGATGGATGGATGGATGGATGATGGATGGATGGATGATGGATGGGTGGATGATGGATGGATGGATGGAGTGTGAGGGGAAGAGGATGTTCTGGGGCGCAGCCTGGTTCTGGTCTTTGTGCAATGGGAGGCGGAGGTCTGGGGGAGCGTGCACGACCCCGGGAGGGAGGAGTAGGTGTCAGTGGGAATGATGGGGGAGCCCGCGCGCGTGGGCACTCATCTCGGGAGCTGGAGCCGGCAGAGGGCGCTCCAGGCTCGCCGGACACCTGAGCTCCGGCCCCTGCGGCGGCGCCACGGGTGGGGTGGGGGGACCTTCGGGAGGGCAGCCCCCAGGGATGCCCCCCACGCCACCCCCCGCAGCCAGACCCCCACCAACCCCGCGCCTACTGGGCAGCGCAACACCCCCCCCATGCGGCCGGGCCGGGGTCCAGCCGCCAGGCCTCGCGCTCCCGCGGACAGCCCCCTGCCGCCGCGCCTGGCCGCGGGAGTGGGGGGAGGGGGGTGTGGA